TACACCATTATTTTTCTACAATTTTCCGTGATAAAATAAACAGCAAACTTTATATCAACAAGAAAAAGAAAAACATTTCAAACTTGGCAAATTCCAAAAACAGATACTTCGCTCGTCATCTCAAAAATATTCATGAACAAAGTTTTACATTTACAAGTTAAAATCATCTCTCACGCCAGAAAAACAATAAATATTAGAAAACAGATAATTAGTACAGCAAATACTTTAATAATGAGCCAACGATTCGACGTTACAGTACGATAGAATTTCAATAATGCTTCATGAGCTCCTTCGATATGAAGTGCGGCATCGTCAACGTTACTGTCTATTCTAAAAACAAGACGAACAAAACAATTGAGAAGATCAAATCCACTGATTATCGAATTAACCTGTATACTAATTCTTCCTGTTGTTTCACCATTGTTGAAAGCTGAGTAAAGATGTCTCCAAGTTCAATAATTGTTTGTTCTATGCTTTGCATTGCTTCCGAACGACTGGCCAAATAAGTGTCCTAGAAGAAGAATTAATTAGAGTCATGAATCATATTGTGATACACTCATCTGTCCGTCCGCTTACTGTTTCATCGATAAATTGTAGTTGCTTCATAGAATGATTCTGAGATAATCCACCGTCCATATTGATAACAGAGTCTCCATTCGCTTGTTTATCATCACGTAATAAGACAGACGGACGTCCTAAATCAGATGAGAACAGTATTGAAGTAAACGTATCACATACTCTTGCAATGTTACCATTCACGGACATTGGTGGTACAGCAGCAAGGGAAGAAGCAACAGTATTTTTAGAAAAGTTATCTCTTCTACTTTTTTGTTCTTTCAAATTCTACAATAGAAAAAATAAATTCAAATTTTATAACAAGGCTCTTTCAATAAACTCTGTTTACCTGTGTACGAACTTCCAGTACTTGCTTAAACTCATTTGACATCATGGCTAATTTAGACTGAAACAAAACTTAAAAATGTTTGTATTGAAATAGAAAAAAGTAAAAAATTATACCTGCAAAACGAAAACGACGGAATTGGAATGCGTTTGTGAATTTTTCGACTTTATTCCATTTGTGTTGTACATATACTAAATAAAAGAAGAACACTATCAAATATAGGGTAAAATTTATATTTGAATAAGTACCTGTTGTAATTGAGCAATCTGTTTATTTAAATTACCAATATCTTGTTTGATAGCTGATGTTAAATCTTGAATTTCTGCAGCTTTGTCATAAAATAAAGATGATTGTTTAGCAACTAAAGAGAAGAAAAAAATAATAATTAAATATTTGATGTTAGGTAACTTGTCAAATGACATACTTATCGTTAACTGTTCTAATTTCATAAATGTTTGTGATAAATCTTGACCAATTTGTTTAGCGGCTTGCATAAATTCATTACTCTGTTGAATAGCCGATGATTTTTGCTTTGCGTTAGATGTGGGTGAAACCAATGGATGATCAAGACCATTCTAGAGACAAAAAAAAATAAATATTGCAAATAATAAATTAATATCGTTGTTTAAAATCTTACTCTTCGATTTTGAAATGTTTTCACTGTTGTTAAAAATTCACTTGTACGATCACGACCGTTCGACATTATAATAAGAGTTGTTTTTTCAATAGATGAATCGTTATTATTTATTAAAAATTGTGGTTGCTTTAGCAATGTTTGTACGGTTTCAGTTAATAAAGGATAAGTTATTGTTGTTTGTGATTGATAATGATTATTTAAGGTGTGTTGTGAACTATCTGGTTTGTTTGTTACTAGTAAACGACGACGTGTCTCCATAAAAATTTGCAGAAACTACAATATAGACCAAATATTCAATTTTGATTTTATGATAACAATAAAAAACTCTTACATCTGTCTCCTAATAATTTATTATACATCTTATATCTTTAATAGAAAAATAAAATTCGATTCAAAAACATCTAGAAAAAACAAAATTTGTAATATAAAATGATTTATGGAAATTATTTTAGATTAGAAAGTTTAAAGATGATTGAATCCTTTTCATCCATCGACTAATTAAAGATCAACGAAGTCTATAAAATGTTTTAAAATTTTCATAGTGAATTTGAAAAAAAACTTTTTTTTCATGTATTTATTGTTCGCTTTAGAAAATAATCATAGCGATTGAGAAAAAAGAAAACAAAAAAAAATTCCTATATATTTAATATTGTTCTAAAATTTAATTTCTGTTCAAGAAAGATATACGAATACATACGGTAGACAAGAAAACAGGATCACATATGTTTATTATCAGAAAAACAAATAAAAAAATATTCTAACAAATGTTTTTTTTTTTTTAATATCAGATGTCGGCGGTGAAGTTAAATAATTGTCTATAAATAGTCAAAAAACTGAGATGAAAGGAAAAATGAAATCAAATTACGTTTTCAGTTTTTTAGACTTTTAAAATTAAATCATTGTCTATAAAAATAATAATATTCAAAGAGAAGAATGAATATGTAAAAATATCGTTGGGAATAAACAAAACTTTGATCATATCAACTTTATCAACGACTTTATCTTTTATTCATATCAACGTTCTTTGTTGAACGGATTTAAAAAGTTTTTTTTTAAAATTTTTGATCACTTTTCTGATTAGTTAGTGAGATTCGCGTGCAGTTTGAAATGCATAATACTTCAAAGATTTATTTGTGTCATTTTGTTGTTGCCATTGAAATAAGTAAACTTATCTAGAAATACAAAAAAAAAAATATACAAGGTTTCGTTCAGTTAATTTTTGTTGCTCAACTGTTCAATGCTTACCTGTTCTTGAGATGGGCATGAGATAATTTGAAGGTCTTCTTCACTATAGTGATTACGAATTAGAATAATTAATTCTTGATAGTTTTGCTGAATGTTTGTCTAGAAAAGACACGTACTAAATAATCTCTGGAATCCACATTTGTTGCATATCCTTTTCTCTTCAGTATGCGCTTAACTCTAAAAATGACGAGTTTTGAAAAAAAAAAAACTTTCTAGGGCAGCCTCATACTCGGGCTAAAATGTGAAACCACAAAATGTAGTTAGGTTATTGTAGATGATTAGAACTAGGATACAGTAAAACCGATCATAGCAATATCTCATCTACAATATTGAGCAAATGTCTCAAAACTTTAAAAAAGAAAATTAAACAATGGTTGCTACGGTAATCCGAATCAATCTACGTTGCTAAGATAATTGTTCAAATGAGTTGATCTCAATAAAACAGGATGACATTGGTTGCTATGGTAAAGCTTATAGAATGCCTGCCATGGGTATCGATGTGTGTATAAAAAGTGATCGAAAATCCTTAGCTCTTGAATATAAACTTCAACTTCTCTCTATGCTGGAATTATTGAAAGTTTCACAAAAAAAGCTATCTACAAATATAATTTCTGCTAAAATTTCCTTTATGAATTTTGATATTTTAAATTTAACTCGTTTGTAGTAAATAAATTTTGTTTCTTAACTGCTTTTTTGTTACAGGAAAGTTCAAGCCTTGAAAACTTGAATTGATCTTTACTACGCGCACATTCTTACCTTTCTCTAATCTCGATTAACCTATTATTATGAATCTTAGAATATTTAATTACAACAGTTGAAGGCTTACTTTAATGGGTTTAAACAGTATTTGTTCGGTATCTCTATTTGCCAAATATAAATTCATCGTTTTTAAAATATCTGGCAAATGTTTTTTTAAATAATTATAATTTTCAATAATAATTTCATGTAGTACATCTGGTTTTGCGAATGGTTGTAGCCTCAATGACACTTTTTGTATATTCGTATTATTGTTTTCATCATTCATTTTCAAAATGACTTGTGCTTTTTGCAAATATTGTTGTATATTACCACATAATTGTGTCGAAATATCCGATATATAACTTTCACACGATTGTTTCAATTGTTTATCGACTTCTCGTTTTGAATCGATGAAACTTTCTTTTACTTGTAATGTGCCTTGTAATAAAAATTCTAAAAATGCATTATCACGGTGTAATGATAAAAATTTTGATCTCTGGGTTAAAAATTTCATGGCTGCTTCTTTTAACTTGGAAAAATCTAGGACCATTTCTTTTACAGCAAAATCAACGCTGAACGGTGCAATCTGCTCACGTAATATTAACAAATGTTTGATCAAAAATAAACGTCCGTCAGATGATGTTTTACGTTTTATTATCAGATCACTTGCTTTTATTAATGATTGAACACACATGGTTAACGTCTCTTGAGACAAACCTTGAAAGATGTTACGCTAAAATAAAACTTTGAAACTGCACATTTTGTTTGGTAAAACTTTCCACACTTACATCAAGACAACGAAATAATTTTGACAAACAAACTAATGTGCGTCTCACAGTAGGGTACCACATGCCATGTAGATCAGCTGGAGATGCTGACGAGGTTTGGCCATCTCTCGGTGATAAAGTGGAGGCTGATGAAAGAACGGGTATGTCTGTACCAACGATTGTTTCAAAAAAAACTTCATTTGAACTTGAATCAGTTGATGACTGAGATGGACGTCTTCCTTTACGTTGCTCTTTCAATGATTGAGCTATTTTCTAAAATAAAAAATATATAACAACCATCGTTATTTGGCTCTCATAATGAAAACTCAGTATATTCGATTTCACTTGTTTGAAGAAAAATGTCTAAAACTAATAGTTGAGTAGATTTACGCTATTTACATTGAGAATATTTACCTGCATCATTTCTAATTTTTCCGGATAGGCAACATCGCCCGGCGATGGATTATATCTTAAAATTTCATCACGTATATACACTTGTGTTCGATACACAAGACGTTCTTGAACATCTTCTAACATTTGCGTACAAACAGTTTCGAATGTCGCCAATTCTCTAGCTAAATAAAGAAAAATGTAACAACAATCATGATCATTATTTTTTAATAAACTTCTTATAGTTTACCACTATTCTTTACATGTTCTTCAACCATTTCAATTTTTAATATGGTCACTAATTCGGCTAAAGTTTCCAAATGTATAACATGGATAATACGAGATCGTAATGCATCATATAACTGATTACAAAATTCAGATAGCATTGTACTAAAGAAGAGCAAAATGTGCTGATTCAAAAATACTATTTCAGAAATGCTTACTCTAATTGAGAGGAATATTTGGAAAAAAATTGATAAAATAATTGATATTCATCTTGGCATAAGTGCAAAACAAATGCACAACCACTCCGAACCTAATAAAATGAATAGTATTATGATTCAATAGATAAAAATGCTATATATCCAGTTACATATGTTTCTCATTCACTTTAGAAGTAAGATGGCGGAATTTTCCTTAAAAAAGCGACACATACCAGAGTACACATATCGCGTTCGTATTTTACGGTTAAATCCTGAATGGCACTAGTTACACTGAAAAAAAAAACAAATTTTGCATGGTTGTCACTAGAACCAAAGCGAACTTACCTGTAGCTTAAAAGCATGCGCCGTTGGTTCGTATAACACTCATGACAATCTGATAACGTTTTTTCATATCTAAAACGAAAAGTAAAAAGAATACGTCTTATCTAATAAGTAAAACAGAGACAACATACTCTGAATTTCGTGAGCAACGTTGCTCTAACTCTTCAGACAATGCCTTCACTTTCGGTGCATTGATACGAAATCGTCCATAAAACAATGTGTATGCATCGTCGGATAATAATGTGTGATTCTACGATGAAAAAGAGCTTATCTTTTTGAATGATAGTAATAAAATTCTAACTAAATGTAGCTTTCATGTGGTATAGCTCCTTCAACTGGGAAGCTAACGCATCAAGTGCGACTTTCAACTGCGACGAGATTCGCGTTCCAAATTCAACCTTGACATATGCTCATTGGAAAGGTTCGTCAAAAAGATCAGCCCAATTATGTATTTACACACATCTCTAATAAACATTTCAGAAAAGTTTATACAATAAAACTTGGAATACGAATCTACTGTAGTTTTTTTTTAAAGAGATTGAGAGTGAGAAAGAAACTTACCTACCTTACTGGAATCGATATTATTCGATGAACTTTGTAGTATAGTTATAATATGTTGTTTAATCATCTGTAAGGCTCTTAATAAAACTTGTTTCATTTGATTTTTGTACATTAACGATTGTTTAAATGTACTCTAAAGAAACAGAGAATAAATTCTACCCCAAACTATAGCACACAAATTAATTATCTTACATGTGTTTCAAAGTAAGAGATACATTCGTCAATACGAGATAAGGTTGGAATCAATTGTTTGATATCTGGAGTCGTTGGTATCATTGAAAAATTCTACGATGTATCTCAATATAATTTCTACACAATCGTTCGTGCTTTTTGCCTACCTTTGCAAAACGGTCAACATCATCAAAATAGGACAGACGATTTTCGATGCATTCGGTTATATTCGAAAGTTTAGCCTAAACAAAACGATGTAAAGTATTCAAATTAATTTTTGTAAAACAAATTTTAATACTTGATCGGCTAATAATTGTTCGCAAGCCTTATATAAAGAATTCGTTTTGTAGGATACTTTTGCGTATGTATCATGCAATGTATCTAGATATTGTACAGCTTCATGCACATCATTATATAATGTTTTACATTGATCTTCCCATGAGCATAAATGTTGAAAGGTATCACTGTTAAAAATAATATATAATCACTGCACTCTTTATAAAACAAGTTTTCTTCTTACTCACTGAACTTCTGTTGTTGTATCATTGGGCTCTATCAAAGACCATTTATTCAGCCATTCGTCTAACTAAAAGAGAATGAGAATAAGTAATTCAACGGTAATAAAACAGTTCGCTGTATTTACCTGCTGCAGATCTGAATTTGTCCATGGCACATAATCCGATTCAGATTCTATTGTTCGTCCTACCTGAACATAGAAAGCGTCTTCGTTACTTTTCGAGTAGAAAAAAACTGCTTACATTTCCAATGCCAACGATCGCAGTTGTTTGAGCACTGTATTTTATATCGATCATATCTTTAATTGCACACACTGACTGCCATTGTTTATCTGATAGTGGTGCAAGACATTCATCTTTGGTGTCGTCTTTAACGTTCAGGTCTATCTCATTGACATTACGGATAGGCACCGACAGATTATCCCATAAAGTGGTTTTATCAATAAGCACAGAATCGGAGTCATTTGTTGGCGTCTTATTGCCTGTGGAGTATTTCACAGTATTGATCATAATACAAAAAATTTTTCATTGACAACTAATCTAAATGGAAAGATCTTTCTTCAAAAATACTTTTTTCAGAGTTATTAAAATTCTGTTCAAAATACCACCGAAATAACGAAAACTTTTAAATAAGTTATGTGTAAAAGTCGACGTGGACTTAGAAGAGGGAAAAATTCAATCCTGTCCTAGTTTTTTTTCTTTACTGATCGATCGAACAGGCATGACATTTGGTATTAGAAAGGAAAGAAAAAGCAAATAAACAAAAAAGGCACCATCTGAAACTGTCAAAATTATGCACGCCTTTGATGTGTTTTATTGGATGATTATTTGTTGATTGGCCAAGAGAAACAGACGCACCAAGAGTGCGTCCTGAATTCATTTAGACCCAGTTTTTAGATCAAGATATAAAGCTATGATTACAGTGACATCGTCATCGCGTTGTTAAATCAATAAAAGCTCCATTAAAATGGTATTTGTGTCTCCATGTACTTTTATCAAACTTTCTCGTTGAAACAAAAGAACGATCGTTACTCATCTCGAGATGAATAAGAGAAAAGTTTGTAGACAGTTTTCAAATACTATTCAATAATGTAATGATTATTACGTGAAAAAGGCGTAAACATTGTTGGATTCTCAAAACTGCAATAGATATCGCTAGTATATTATATAAGATTCAAATGACTTAACTTTAATGTTATTTTTTTTTATAGAAGTTCAAGCTTTCAAAACTAATTAGAGAATCCACTTTCCATCGTGTAAGCACGTATCATAAAGAAAACAATGAAGATTTTTTCGAATTTCTCAACAGCTATGTAATGTATAATTTTCCATTTCTAAGTGAAAATAAAACAAGGGTAGTTCCACGCAGCTCCGCCCAGTATTACATGATTTGAAAGCCGGTCAGAAATGATTCTTGTCATCGTGCGAAGCATAAAAAATCACTTATAAATCCATATATTTTACCTGTTCAAACGGTTTCAAGAATGGACGCCTATAGCTTGCAATAGACGATTTTACCCGTTTTCAAGCGCCCCTTAGTACTTAAATACCAATTTCACCACTACATCTGAATTTTTCTAACAGTGATGATCGAAAAGAGTACAAAAGGTTGCAAAAATTTAGTTATATCTCATCATTTTTTATACAAAGCTTTTCCATAAAAAATTTAACCGTCACTGGCCAAAATTATGTTTTTTAATTCGAGAAAAATTCATCCAAAAATAAGAGAAGCAGTCTTATTTTCAAATGACCAGAAAGCCCCACAGAAGCTTGTCTGAGTGCTCGAAACTACTGACCAATTAGCTCCGATATCCCAGCATCCGAGACCTACTTTTGAACTTTGTGAGCTGTTCCCACGAAAACTACATGTGAACTTTTTCGAGATATTATGATTTTAGATACTATTGGAGTAGCTCTACAAAAGCCGCCAAGTTTCAAATTCGGTCGAACAAATTTTTGGGGATCGATTTTCCAGAAATCCTCGTCAAAATCTTAATCTCATGTTTGATAAAGAACCAGCTTTGATCCCGGATTCGTGTTCAAACTCAAAAATACTCCACAGTTCAGTGTTTTCTACTCTTCTAGAGGCTACCAGGAAGTCCAGATTTTTACAAAGATTTCTGGAAAAGCGATCCCCAAAAATTTGTTCGACCGAATTTGAAACTTGGCGGCTTTTGTAGAGCTACTCCAATAGTATCTAAAATCATAATATCTCGAAAAAGTTCACATGTAGTTTTCGTGGGGACAGCTCACAAAGTTCAAAAGTAGGTCTCGGATGCTGGAATATTGGAGCTAAATGGTAAGTATTTTCGAGCTTGCTCTTGTAGCATTCAGACAAGCGTCAGTAGTGCTTTTATTTGGCGCCAAATTTTGTGGGATTTGATACTATTTTGGTTCTCTGTGACTGTTGCAAAAAATACAGTTATGGCCCCCAAACGAAAATTATTTTACACGTTGAAAGTAAAAACTGGATTTCGATGCTCTATCTAACCATGAGGAACAGGACTCTTTAAGTTCCTTCGTAGCCTCGGAATATTCAGTTTGAAAAATCTGAAAAACCCTAAAATTCACAACTTATTGCTGAGGAAAAACCATGTTCGGAATAACTTTTCCAGGGGGCGACTATGGACGTTTACATACTTTTAGTAGCTCTACAGAACTCATATAGTCAAACCTTCCCGGCTTCCAGTCGTGTATAGAGGTGTATAAAAAAGGTTTAAACTTTTGTCATCATCTATATACCTTTTTAAGGTTTCGTACAGCAGTCTAAATCCGTCACTGGGAGAATCTTGCATGGGGAAGTGTTCCCTCAGTCGAACTAAGCTTTTCCCAGTCACGGATTTAGGGTGCTGGCGAGGTATACAGTTTGTACGAAACCTTAAAAAGGTATATAGATGGTGATAAATGTTTAAACCTTTTCTAGGTTCGGTAGAGTACCTTTTTTTCAAAGAGTACACATAAGAAAGTAGTAAAATAGGGATCATTCGTTCAGCGATCGATGTTCGTTTTTCTAGCTACAGTTTTATTCAAAAACTCCACATCCACGTCCAATAACAACAGGTATAGATCTTCTCAGATGGATAACGAAGTCATGCACCACTTAAGGAGCGAATGTCTCTCAATACTAAGCGTTCTTTATCTCATAGGGTACAGTCTATGACAAACGTCTCAACCTGTGCCCTACCCTATAAAAATGTTTCGTACTCTTAACCTACCCTACCCTACCCCTACCGTTAGTGGCTGCTATAAAAACAATGAAATTAGAACGAACACAATCGAAATAATTAGGAAAAAATTGAAAAATAAGGGGGAAAGCGACTTCTGTTGAAAAAATCAGTACTTTATCTAGATCCACCGTTATGGATAGAACAGAAAAGAAATAGGATATATTTCAAGCATGAAAAAATATCCAGAATATGTTTGCATTAGATATGTGACACGTTTCGCATCTTAACGCCGTAAATGAAGACCGATCAACATGAAAGATGAGCTCTATCGTCTTGCCAAAACATGTCCAATTAATGGAATAAAAGCAGCTGTTGAGAAAAAAATGAGATTACTTTAGATAAAAAGAATAGTAATAGATTATCATTCAATCTAAAGAATGTTGTTGAAAATGTGTGCATGTGCATATTCCATTAGCGAATTGTTCTTATACTTCTTCAACTCTTTGTTTTCAATCATGTATATATTATTGATCTTTCTCTCGTCTAAAAGCATACAAACAAGCGAAGTGCACCATATTAAGACAATTATTGCTAAAAATATGAAACTTTGTCTACGTGAACAACTCTTTTCAGGAACAGAAATTCGTTTAAAAGTTCAAGAATTAGCTGAGTGTATTGAACATGACGCATGTGGTCGTCCAATTGTATTCATCGTCGTGTTAAATGGAGCATTTATTTTTGCTTCGGATCTCATACGTTTCATTCGAAATTCAGATATTCAATTAGATACCATATGTACATCTGCATACAAAAATGAAATGATTTCAAGTGAACATGTTCAATTACGAAAAGATATTGATCTAAATTTACATGATCATTATGTGGTGCTCATTGAAGATATGATTGATACAGGACGAACTTTAAAATATTTATCCAAATATATTATAAATAAATATGAGCCGTATTGTTTGAAAATCTGCACACTGTTAGATAAACCATCGAGACGATTGACCGATTTAAAACCGGATTATGTTGGATTTACAATTGATGATTTATTTGTGGTAGGATATGGTATTGATTGTTGTGAAAAATATCGACAATTACCCTATATTGCTTATGTAGAAAAAATAGCGGAAGATAGTTAAAGAAGTAATAATAATGGAATTTAATGGAACAAAAAATACGCTTTTTGTCTCACGCTGTTTATTTTTCAGTTGACAGTCACTATCATAAATACAATGTATATTATTTTAGCATAAATACTTACTTATTAGGGTTTAAGTTTAGAATATAGATTTAAAAATAAAACAACCTTTTTAATGTTAAAACACACAGAATCCAAAGTAATATTCCACTCATAATATTATCGCTTAGATTAATGTAATGTCATTTGCATTATGAAGGTATGCATCGACGCTGGAAGCGTCCTAAACTGACACCTCAATTGTAATACTGTATGTAATACTTCTAGCTGAAGCGTTGAAACTGATTCTCATCAGTTAAGAAATTAAAAAATCATGGATAGCACTAGTAAAGAAACGACGATTGCGTGACTGGTCTGTTCTAGAACGAAAAGTTTTTTTTGAGTTGCCTTTTCACTTTTCTTTTTTCTTTATTTCAGATTCTTATGAAGATCTTGCATGGTATCATTTTAGTTCCCTGTATTTAATATTGTGCGTATACGTACGGGCCTAGGTAAAATATTCTTCAACGAGAAAAAAATGTGAAATTTTCTATAGTGGAAGCTTTAAGAGATCTCCACTGTGGGATACCTTGGAAGTTCAGTAATAAATATAGAAAGACTAATATTCATAACAGTAATGATTTTCGGAAAAAATACAGTTACCCCGAAAAAAAGATAAGAAACCGATGAAATCTTTTTGAAAATTTTTCTGTGTGGAAATTTTCAAAAACGTTTTACAGTTTTTGAGAATCTTTTTAAGTTAACGGATAGATTTTGCACTTCAGCGTTCGATCACTTTGTTTAATGAATCAACGCCAGATTCGGAATCAGCAAATTAAACTGCATCGAATGATGTATGGTAAGACAGTTTTTTGAAAAAGAGTTTATTTGCTATTGATTTAGTAGAAATCAGAGCTGGGCAAGTCACGGGTTTTCAAAGTCACAAGTCAAGTCATCAAAATTTTTCTCAAGTCAAGTCTAGTCAAGTCACAAGTCATGACTTAAAATTTTTTTCCCATAGAAAACGGCATAAAAGAGTCTCTATTCCTTGGTAATAGAACACAGACCTACTATGCAATTGCAAAATGTGCGTCTTGTTACTGTGGGTAAATTTCTACATATTATAACATCAACATTCTTAAATCATTATGAATTATTATTTAAAATTAGATTGCATAAGCGGTTTAAAAATATTCATGACCTGACTTGATTTTTTATGCTAAGTCACAATACATACAAGTCAAGTCATAAGTCATTAAAAATTTTTCAGGTTAAATCAAGTCAAGTCAAATTGACTTGCCCAGCTCTGGTAGAAATATAAAAATTGATGATAACCTATATATTATAAATCCTGAACGCTTTATAAAACATGCCCGACTATTTTCTTCTTATTTAATTACACACACCTCAGCAGCATTTTGGATATGTTCGTTACGAGTCTTCACACTTCTTTATCTCATTTTTGATTTTTATGTACGTTTTCTCTCCATATTGCGTTTTCTTTGCAGAATTTTATTTTATTTTATAAATTTTTTATTTGCAACTGCTAAACGTTTCGAAATCTAAACCGACTCCTGCTTCAATAGTACAAATTCTATGAATAGCAAGTAATTACAGAGAAGAACACACACTATATACGAGAGCTAATTAAAATATGTACACATAGAAATATATACTGTAATCTTTTTCCATTTTATAGAAAATCGACCATAAAATCCTTCAGGATTTTCAAACTTATAGAAAATCCTCACCGATTTTCCAACTTTATAGAAAATGTTGATTTTTTAGAAATTTGATTTTCAAGAATCTGGAAAATTAAGGAAAATTTTCAGATTAGTAGAAAATCCTCTTTAACTTTCTAGAAATAATTCCCGGTTTTGATGACATTGATGACATTCTTGTTGATGACTCATTCACCTTTTGGTTTTGCAAAGATGTAGCTATATATAAGATACACAAATTCGGCTATACAATTTTTGCGATAATATTTCTAGAATTGTTCTAGTGTTCTTCTACATTATAATCTTGAAAATTATTTATAGAAAATCGACAACGATTTTCAAGATTCTTGAAAATCAACATGGATTTTCTATAAATAATTCTCAAGATACTTGAAAATCAAGGAGGATTTTCTAGATTTCTGGGAATTCGTTTTTCTATAAAATAGAAAATCCTCTGTGATTTCATATATGGACTTTCTGAAAATCAACGGCGATTTTCTATAAATAATTTTCAAGATTACAGTGTTAATCGTCAACAAGTGTTAAACAGCTGCAAATATTGATGTATAACAAAATGATGTTTGAAAATTGCACTTATTGAAATCCTGAAATGAGAGAGATATGACATATGCCGGAAAATAAATATGAGAAATAAATAATAAGTACAGTAAAAGATGATAAGATGCTGATTGTGATGATTACAATTGAATATGCATAAAGATGAGTAGCTAAAATGTATTATTGACTAACATTGTGGTGAATAGATGAAATGACAGATGTACAAAAGATGAAAATTAAATAATAAGTAGAATTGTCAAAGACTAAAATAAAATTATTTCCTGATTTAAATTTATATTTAACTCGTGGTTGTACTCTTAAACTATATTTGCCTTTTTGTTATTATCTCAAAACTACTTGTTGATGACTAACTATATTTCTACGTGCACATAGTTTTTAATTAGCTCTCGTATATAGTGTGTGTTCTTCTCTGTAATTACTTGCTATTCATAGAATTTATACTATTGAAGCAGGAGTCGGTTTAAATTTCGAAACGTTTAGCAGTTGCAAATAAAAAATTTATAAAATAAAATTCTACGAAGAAAACAAAATTAAAGTTAAATATATTTCCTTATCGTATTATCAACAGAATTAACACTAACTCGTATCACATTTCCATTATACATTCTCGTACTGTAGTTACCAAATTATGCGTGAGCTTGTCATGTTAGTTATATGTTTTATGAAACTTCGTATCCATGTCGGCATGTGTCACTCGTTTAATTGTTTTCTTTCATAAATAAAATAAATGGAAAAAATATTTTATAATCCCGACCGAATGGAAGAAAATTCTAGCTGTATGTGGATAACATACCGAGTGTTTAGAAAGTCACTACCAGATAAAAATGGCTATGACTTCGTCACTTCTTGACTAAATGAGCTCATTTATTTTTGTTTGATAGAAAAATGTTCACAATTTTAGATAATATAACAAAACAAATAAAATGCCATACTCTTTCGAGTTCAGAATAAAATTTGTTGTATTAATGGCAAAATCTGAATCTGTTAATCTTGACCTGCCGTCTTTCTGTCTTTCTGTCTTTACAAGCCGATATTGGATCAGATGTTTCAAGAGACACGACAATTAAGTCAATTTTTGATGAATTTCTTTGGACGGGCTCTGTTCAAGACGATGCTCGTTCAAGAAGACTATCAGCTATCACCAGCAACAAAGTTCTTCAAGTTGTTGATCATCTCGATCTCAACCAGCAAGCAATCTGCGTAACATTTCAAATGAATTAAACATTTCTCTGAAGCGAATGTGGCATATAACACGTGATATATATCACGTGTTATATGCCACGGTTAATCAAGAATATTCTTGATTAACCGACGTTTGAGCGATCGACATTAGAGCGCCGACACTCGAGCGACCCGACATTTCCGCGAATGACATGAACGCTGAGAGATACCCTCCCACGACAAACTGCCAAAAATACCCAAATGTGTACTACGAAAAATTCGTGGAAGAGCCGAGTTCTGTTCGTGATAATGTCGGTCGCTCAAATGTCGGTCACTCAAACGTCGGTTGACGGATATTCTTGATTACAAATCTTACACGATGCATTCCACTCAACAACTTTACGATGCTGATACAGACTTAAGGGTATAAATGGCTGAAAACTTGATGACGATGGATCAACGTTACGGATTCAGATTTTGCCATTAATACAACAAATTTTATTCTGAACTCGAAAGAGTATGGCATTTTATTTGTTTTGTTATATTATCTAAAATTGTGAACATTTTTCTATCAAACAAAAATAAATGAGCTCATTTGGTCAAGAAGTGATGAAGTCATAGCCATTTTTATCTGGTAGTGACTTTGAAATACTCTGTACATTTAAATCAGTAGAGACCTATCAAATCCAGAGATGAAGGCAATATTTCATTTCAAATATGATCAGTTTATTATCTAAAAATGTTTAACTTTTACTCTGAAACATTTAAAAGTAGATGACAAAATCGTGGAGAAAAAAACTGATCCTAATGACCTGTGGTAAATAGCATTCGCACCGAATAATTTAAACAAAACTGTTTCATATGACCAGATAATCGACAATACCGATATAAAATGTTAGCATTGCGCGCCGATCGACGAACTATAGATCGTTTTTTTCTATTTGTATTATCTTCTGGCTTGCCGTCATTACTATCATCAGACTGATATTTTGAACATATGACATACACTTGTTTCCCAGAATAATCACTATCCATCAATAATTTTCCGTATAATACACTGTCGTCATCTTCATTTGTCTGAATTACCCATTTTAATGTATCATAATATACTGGTATACAATCAACTTCAAGTTGTTCAGATATATCACGTTTATGAATAAAATATTTTGATGGTATTGACTATTGAACAGTAGATAATAAACGATCAAAACGAGAGATCTATTAATGCATTCTAATCTTCTATACTTACCATGGTCACTGTTCCATATGTTAAAATAATAAAATAGCAAAACCATGTCTAAAATTAATAACCTAAGTTGTCTCTTTTATATCAACATATAACGATATTAGATTGATTCAATTTTATCTTGAAAACTTCAAATATTTATGTATCATCTTTTTAATGCTATTCTATCTGACCCTTTTGATTAAGAAAAAAGTGGTAACATAAATTAAATTGATACTTACTGTCATCTTTCTCTCTTTAACTAGTATTGCACCAAATTGGATATCAACAATTCGATACCATTTACTAAACATTTATAGATTTTCTTTGTTTAGTTAATATAAAGAGTGGGTGGTTTACTGATTAAAGTCAGAAAGAAAAAGACTAGAGAAAAAAAAAAGAAAAGAGATCAACAATGTAGACTAGTCAACGTGTATCTTAAATTTCAAAATTTTTTTAATTTAGGTATAGAAGTAATTGGAGAAAGTGCTTTTTGTATAAAGATAGAAAAATAATCATATTTTTATATCCGGTTCACTTAATTTAATGACAAGAATATTTTTCTTTTGCGATCAGTTTTCTTTTGCAAGAGAAACAAAAGAGTAAAAAAACATATGCACTAGACAGACATCTATACAATGTTTTAGTTCAAATATTCTGGGATAAAATATATAGAAATCGCTTAAGATCTGCTAATATTAAATTGTTGTATTTTGCAGAGATTTCCATTCAATTTATTTTGAAATATATATTTTTTTTCTCTTCCTTTCTCTGTATTAGTCTTTGAAAAATGAGCACGTCGTATTTCTATATTCTTTTCTTTTTTTTTCAAAATAGATTTTTATTCATATAAAATAATAATTATATAATCTTACCAACCACGGTCATCATTATTAAGCTCGATTAATAAAATAGAAGACGTCGATATATAATATTAACATATGTGTCTATCTTCGTAATAAGGAATCGTAGTCTAGAATACACTGTTTCTCTCTTATTTTTATTTTTCATTCATGGCCAAAGTGAATTGAAAGATGATAGATTGAACTTCGTGTACCCTAATGACGTCCATATGAGAAATCTTTTGATAAAAAAAAAATTTGTGCATCACTAAAAAAAAGAAAAGGAAGAGTGATTATCTAAAATAAAATAGTGTATGGTGCTATTTATAATCAGAAAAAGCTGCTTAGAAATTAATATAGAAACTACGTTGTTTTCCAAACACGAAAAAACCTTAACACTAAAATTTATGAACTTGATTATTATTATTCTCGATGCTTGTGGGAATGTGAATTTAGATATAAAAAGAAGACAACAAAACAGTCTAAACAATTTGATTACATGTTTCTTTTTGACATTATAATGAAATGACAGGAAGCATATTTTAGTATAATTTAATTTTTTAAAACACAAAAAAAAAAAACGTTTTAGTATTTAAACAAGAAATAAGCCAGCCCCACGATTATAAATTGAAGTTGTACTTATAAAGTTAATATTGTTGGTGTATAATCATATTCTCAAATATGATACATATGAGAATAAATAAAAAAATCTCTGGTGAGACTTATCAGCAATTTTTATTAATATTGAATGCTCTGTAAATAGTCAAATTTTCAGCTTTTTCTGTTGGTAAGACGATTCGCTTATTTATTTCTCTTTCGAATCTTCCATTTAAATCTTAAATAATTTAGATTTTGCTTCGAATTTTTTTAATAGTTATCCAAAAACTGCTGAATTTTGTCGAGCCAAAAAATGAACTATGCGCATGCACACAGTAGCCATTGTGCAACAAGAGTAGTCATTCTTATTTGATAAGTTAATTAGATCTCGGTGGGAGTAACGAACGAGCAAAGAAACGAACATTTTTCGATTTGAAATATTTCATAATAAATTTTGTATTATTATTAAATCAGAAGCTAATAATGACCCTAAAATACAAAATAAAAACTATAATCTAATAAAAACTATTATCTTCTTATCTTCTTATAAAAAATTTCTAAATATAGAGAAAACAAGCATTGTTTTCCATAACAAATACCCCAATAATTAGTTTCATATAAATAGATTTCAATTCAACAGACTTTTGAAGATTTACCCTTCGCACTATGCAACTTGCTATACAACTTCAATATTTGTTGTGACAGAGCCATTTTCAATAGATCACGTAATCCATTCATGAGTTCGCCTTGAAACTTTGTATGAATTATCTATGAATGATATACAATGCCTTTTGAACATATCATATCAAAATGATGTTTCTCACATTCAGTTATAATTTTTTTGACAAAATTTCACACCCCCTGTATGTCGATTCAAAGAAACGTTAGGCTCTACTTCGATCGTAAAAAGCGCATACTTGCTTGATCTTTGTGATCACTGCTTTAACCTCTGCTACCTAAAACAGTTTTAAGTTGTGATTTTGAAAAGTTTTTCCAAATACCACTGAAAAGGTTATATACCGGGCGTCCCAAAATGTTTACAACATTTTTATTGCATCAAAATGCAGCGTCGGTAAGCTATCTCGACCTATGCCATGGATTTCATATATCTGACACTCACTGGTTAGAAAAATATAACCAAATTTTGTTAGGACAACCTGACCTGCTAATTTCAGTAATTATTATTTCACCTTTTACTTTTTGTCTCATGTCTCTCATTCATCAAAGAATATTTTTTATTAACCCATAATCAGACATAGCATAAAGACGGGAGGAGAGGTTGCCGCTGGTAGTTTAATATCGTTCACAGCATAATCGATTAGCATTTATTTGAGTAATTTATTGTGCTCTCCTCACCATTGAAATAAGTTATAACAAATATATTTCGATATTTGTGCAGTACACTTACAAACGTAACAAGTCACGCCAGCGCAAGAAAAGATAAACTAGAAACCTGATTCCATTTGTCGAGTTTACCGAAGAATTGTCTGCTTATGTTATAAATGTTTATCCAAAAATTGTTTCGAAAGGCCATGTTCTATATCAAGCTGTATGCTGTTATTTTAGGCTTATCGCACTAAAAATCAATAGTTTTAACACTTTATTACTACGATTAACACATTACAAAACTTAACAGAAAAAAAGGCTGAAGAATCTGTCTTCATTCGTCCAAAACCAATTCGGCAGTTTCATGATTTAGTTTTCCGTGAACACGAAAAATAAAGTCACGATGTAGAAAGGCGCCACGATCAAATCACAAAAAACTTGGTACATTAATACCGCCACTTCCAGTATTTTCTGGGATAATGGACTTTTGAAATAATGCCGTATTTTTCCGCGTTGAATCTATCGATATGACCGGTACAGTATAAATGTAGGCATCTTTCGTCGAATTATAAGTAAATGATGATAAAACGATACCACGACGAGTTACTTTGTCATCCTTGTACAAAAAAGATTTCACCGTAACAATCGTTCCAGATAATAATGGACAATTAAACATTGAAAAGCATGTTAAACAAATAAGATTAAAATCAGCCGTTTAAGAAAAAACGTAGTACATTCAACACTAAGAAACAAATCAACCTAAAAACAAAAAAAACTCCAGTTTATCAACCTATAACAATTTTGCCTTAGTTAAGAATGAAAGATAAACGTTATATGACAATAGCTACGAAAAGTAGATATTCTTCTTCGCTTTCAAGAAGACACTCTTATAAATCATGCAATTTCGACTTATATTTACACCCAAGCATGCGAATGAAAAACTAGTACTTTCTATAAATTTTAAAACATCCTTCTTCTTCTAGATAAAATTTCTGTCTTTATTCTAGGCTACAACAGCGTTTGATTACGTTTGCTCTAATCGAGAAGTGCATTAGTTTTTAATAAAACATTGTCACTGTCTTAAAAAAATAAAACCGGTTTTATTCATGATTAATCGAGTTAATCCCATTCTAGTCTATCATTTTCTGAATGTTTTGGCGGTGATGATGTTGAATAAAATCGTTTTATGACCAATTGTGCTCTCATCACACCTATATAAAACAAGCAAGATAAACAATATCCCAAGCACAAAAAAAAAAACGCTGACCGCGCGGTTGTCGACGGCCCACCCTAGTCGAGACTCCCGGCAAAACTCCAACGGGAGTCCCAAGTTTATGAAAAACTCCAGCAGGAATCGTAAGGAGTCCTGATGACTCTCGCAGGAACTTTCTAAAGTGAAAAGTCCAACATGGAATCATGAGGAGTCCCAAAAAAATTCGTGCAGGAGTCCTGTGGAGAGTCCTGTTGGAGAAAGTCATGCATGGACTCCTACAGAACTCCTCAGAAAAACATGACTTCGATGGATGATATGTGCTCCAGCGGTACCAGTCATAGTATCTGATACTTAATTACTAATTAGTTACATGAAATTAAGAAGATGGATCAATAGACTCACAGGGAGTCCCCAAGGACTCTCTTGAAAATCCCCGAGAACTCCCCAGGGACTTCCTTAAGAATCCCATAGAACTCCTGTGGGAGTCTTGAGGAATCCCTCTTGAATCCCTTAAAAATCCTCCATG